GTGTTGCTTTATTTCAAGAGGAAACGCATTTTTGACGACTTATTCGTAAACCGAATTAAATACCTCACAGCAGTGAAGAGGATTTAAATTGATGATTATATCGGGCTGAAATATTTTAAAATTAAATTATTTGTTTTTAAATTTTCTTATCCAGTGGGTAGGAGCTGGGACAGCTTATTCGGTACAACGACCGGCTACGGTCTCGACGACTGAAGAGTGGGAATTCAGGTCGCAGCAGAGTAAAGAATTTTTTCTTCTCCAAATCGTTTAGACTATATGTTACTGTCTCGTCACCAAAATGCAGGGAAAAATCATGACATAAAGATAGGAAACAGATGTTTTGAAAATGTGGCACAGTTCAGATATTTGGGAACAACGATAACAGATCGAAACTTGGTACAGGAAGAAGTTAAGAGGCGATTGAACTCGGGTAATGCTTGCTACCATTCAGTCCAGAACCTTTTGTCTTCTCGTCTGTTGTCCAAAAACATAAAAATTAGAATATACAAAATTATAATTTTGCCTGTGGTTCTGTATGGGTATGAAACTTGGTCTCTGACATTAAGGGAGGAACATAGACTGAGGGTGTTTTAGAACAGGATGTTGAGGTGAATATTAGGACCGAAGAAAAATTAAGTGACAGGAGGTTGGAGAAAACTGCATAATGAGGAGCTTCATAACTTGTACTCTTCTCCAAGTACAATTAGAATGATCAAGTCAAGGAGGATGAGGTGGGCAGGTCATGTAGCACGAATGGGGGAGACGAGGAATGTGTATAGAATATTGGTGGAAAAGCCAGAAGGAAAGAGACCACAGGGAAGACCAAGGCGTAGATAGATGGACAATATTAGAAGGGATCTTAGAGAGATAGGATGGAATGGTGTGGATTGGATTGATCTGGCTCAGGAGAGGGACCTGTGAAGGGCTCTTGTAAACACGGTGATGAACCTTCGGGTTTCCATAAAATTCTGGGAAATTCTTGAGTAGCTGCAGAATTGGCGTCTCCTCCAGAAGGGCTCAGCTCCATGAGTAAGTAAGTAAATAAGTAAATCGTTCAGACCGGTTCTAGGGTCCACCCAACCTCTTATCCAATGGATACCTGGGGCTCTATCCTCGGGGGTAAAGTGACCGTGGCTTGAAGCTGATCACTCACCTCTAGCAAGTGTCGAGGTCAAGGAATATGAATCTAAACATTCACTCCCACATACGCCTTCATGGCGCAGCGCTTGATTGATTCATTCATTCATTATTGGAGGGGGTGTGTTTGCCCATGCACCGCGACCAGTTGTTGATCTATTGTACGTCCCAGTCGCCATACCCTTTCGGTACTGGTGCTCGCTATCAGCCCCGTTCAGCCAACGAGTGCGGCCCCTCTACTGGCAGTGGTACCTGATACTTCCCCATTTACCGGAGGCATTGGAAACTATTTGGGCGGGAAACTTTTTACCTAATTTTGCTCAGAGGTCTCCTAGAGACATGAGGATCTTTTACATGCCGTAAATCTACGAAACGGGACCCACGGCTTAAAGTCCCTCCCGGAGGACTTGTTCCCTGAATTTTTCCGCCCTTAAAAATTCCACGACCTCCGCCGTGTACCTTGAGTCATGAGGTCGGAACGTTACCCCTAGGCTACGGAGGCCGCAGCGCTTGATTAGTTAAGCACAGGGATAATTTTACCTTACCCTACCATCCAGTGGGTACTGGGAACCCGTTTCTCGGGGTAAGGCGGCCGGGTAGTGAAGATGATTACTTACTTCCATCCAGTTCTGAGGTTAAGAATTATGGGGCTATACCTCCAGTCTCCCATACGTCCTCATGGCGTGGAGCTTGATTAAGCACAGGGACAGTGGGATCCGTGCAAAGTGGTTCTAATAAGTAGGCGATTAATTCTTCCCAGAACTTATTATTTAACAATTTCACTCATAATCTTGACTAATCGCATGTGGTAAGTAAAAATATTAGGAATACCGTCTTCTGGGATGTAGCGCCGTTTAGATCTTCTTTCAACCGACGTTTCGGAGGAATGTATCGCCTCCATCTTCAGGATAGAGAAATCCGCAAGCGAGAAACCAGAGTGAACAGATGACTGAATAATAACGCTGGTTCCTCTTCTGCAGATTCGAAACTCTAAAATATGCCTTACCAACGGAGAATTCTTTTAATAATAATTTTCTCTAAACACATCTCTGCCTTGTGCTGCATAGCACGCACTCTCAGGCAGACTTAAACGGAAGCTCATTAATATAAATTACGCACATGATTCTTGAGATTAATTGGAGACTCGTACTACACCTGGCGGTGCTGTCCCCGACGCTGTCGGACATACGCTGAAGGGAGGACACTTTCAGTTTCTTTAACCCCGTGAATATACCCCATTTTGCCTCTATTCCCAACTTCTGCGGCTTTCATAATGTCTTTATTATAAATTTCTATTCATTATGTTCTTCGACGGATTGTCGGGAGAGATCAGTCGGTGTAGTAAAGGGCTGGACGCCCGGGGTTCGATTCTCGGCAGGGAAATAAATTTTCCTGACCTCCATAACGCTCAGACTAGTTCTAGGTTCCACCCAGCACTCCTATCCAGTAGATATTGGGGCTTTTTCAATTGGGGTAAAGCCGCTGAAACGTGAAGCTGACAACTCATTACCTAATGCCGTGGTCAAGAATGGTAAGGCTAGACCTCCCCACCTTCATACATCTTCATGTCGCCGTGGGTAATTAACTAATTAATTAAGCACAAGGTCAACTTCCCCCCCCCGGCACTACAGCCCCAGTGGGCCTAGGCCTACCTCCATGAACTTCTCCGTTCACTTCGGTTTTTCTAAATCTTACACATTCGGTAGGACTCCTTGGGCGGGTGATCAGCTCGTCGCAAGGCCTCTACCTGAAGACAAACACAGAAAAACGCACACAAACATCCATACCCTGAGTGGGATTCGAACCCACGATCCCGGCTTCCGAGAGAGCGAAGACAGTACATGCCTTGGACCGCTCGGCTACCGTGAGCGGCCACAAGGACAACTTTACCTTACTTCTTTACGTTCTTCGATGGAGCTCAGTGGGTATAGCGATGGGATACACGGACAGGGTTCCATCATCGACAGGGCATGAGACTTTTCTGTTCTCCGTAGCGTCTACACCGATTCTGGGGCTCACCCAGTCTCCTATCCTATGTGTACCAGGTGCTCTTTCCCGTGCGGTAAAGCGGCTGGAACGTGGAGCTGTCCACTCACTTTCATCGAGTTCCGGGGTCAAGAAAGGCGGAACTATACGTGCTCTCGTCCATACGTCTTAATTACTTAAACATAGGGTCAGCTTTACCTTTACTCCTGAACTGCCGAAATTCGAACAAGCTACTGTCATTTGCATGCGAACATATGCACCTTCTTTAGTCTTACTCACTTTTGCTTACTTGTAATAAACTGAATTGATTTTAACATATAAGCTAAAATTTATCCTGTACTTAATAAAGCATGGCGCCATGAAGACGCCTGGATGAGTGGAGGTATAGCTCCACGTATTCTTAACCTCGGCACTAGATGCAGATGACCTGGTCACTTTACCATCAGAAGAAGAGCCTTCTTCTTCAGTTGGATAGGAAACTAAGTGGGTTCCACATTCTGAAGAAGACCGAAAGCTTTTGTCCGTCGATTCCTTGATCGTCTAGCCGGAAACCAAGCCAGTGTACCAACTGAGCTATTCCGGTACCTTAAGTTGCCTCATGTTGTTTCTACGGTAAAAGAGTATATAAGTAGGGTTCATTAATTAAAGGATATATGGGAACTGAATTAGATTTGATTTAAATTATATTTCATTCATTCATTCAGAAACTGCCTTCTAAAAGAAGCTATCGAAGGAAAGATAGATGGGCGGATAGAAGTGACAAGAAGACGAGGAAGAAGACGTAAGAAGATGCTGGATGACCTTGGGGACAGAAGAGGATACTGTCATTTGAAGGAGAAAGCTCTAGATCGCATGAAGTGGAGGAATTGTTTTGAAAGAGACCTGTCGTCTTGACAGATTACTGATGATGATGATGATGATGTTTAATATAATTGCAAACACGTCGGATAATATTTCATTTATATTGTTTACTACATTTGTCGTACACCGACAGCCTATGTGGTCTAGTGGTCAGAGTTCCTGGCTACATATCCTGATGTTCCGGGTTCGATTTCCGGCGTTAACAGATTTTCTGAGAAGTAGTGGGTCTGGAACGGGATCCACTCAGCCTCGTGATGATAATTGAGGAGCTATTTCAAGGAAATAGCGGCTCCGGTCTAGAAAACCGAAATTAACGGCCGTGAGGATTCGTTGCGCTGACCACGTGACACCTTCTATCCGTGAAAGTTGGCACTAACTTCGCTGACAAGCGGCGGTCGCTCGGTCGGTATAGTTCGCTTGCGGACTCAAGCCACGGAGTTTTCTTTTAGTGTTATTAATTAGATCAAATATGTGTTTAATGTAATTGAAAAAATTATTTCGGATAATATTTCATTTATATTGCTAATTATATGTGTCGTACACATACCGCTCCTTAAATAAAAACTATTTCTACGTATGAGAATATTTTGCGAAACAGGCTCTTCAAGCCCGAAAAATGTGATATGACCTTAAGTCTGCTAGTGGCATAATATAAGGCTAAGTTGTTTTTTTTTCAAATACCGATGCTTAGAAAAGAGGTTTCGTCTTATTTTTTGGCCCTCAGTAATAAATACAAAGATAATTATGAGGAATTCTAATTACTAATTCTAATGTTATTTTTCAAATACATATAATAATTTACAACATTAAATTGCGGAATTGTTACTTCTTAATATTATACTTTTTATTTATTTATTTATAACCATCAAAATCAAATTTTGTTCAATTCTCTTATTGCGAAACTATGGTGTGTCCTTATATTCGTGCTTGTACCGTACATGAAATTGTGCAGCTAAAACCCAACTGAATTAAACTACAGGTGATATCACTTTATTGGAAGAGTTTATTTTACTCACCTTCTGGAAGTGACGTAACCGAATTTTGTCAGCAGCTTCGTTCTTGTCCTCTCCTACGATGATCAGTTCACGCTTGTTAACAATCAACTTTGGTTACGTCTAACCCACGTCATCACCATGGTAACTGTATTTTGTCTAAGCCATTTCTTGGAAAATCACAACATAAAATCCCAGCGAAGGAAGTATGAACGTGATGAAACTAACCTGGAGAACTTAAATACTGTCATGAAACTCTTAACTTTAAGTTAACTTCCATAACACGTCCACTGATTACTGAGTTCGGTCATCTGTTAGTGTTAAGAGGCACCCAATACGTGCTACACGTGTGCAGAATGGGCTGCAATGATTTATGAGTCTATAATCCATTATCTGCTAATACGTAGATAATTCTGTCACTTGTCACTGCTTGTAGAATTGTACACATGTTCATTTTCCCCACTATAAATTGATATGAAGTCATTTCATAAATATTAATACTTAACAGTAGATTAATTATTGTTTTTGGAAATTTTCGTATGGATTTGTCTTTTTATTGCTGTTTTAGAAAATGTACAAATTCTAGTTATTTAATTTGAAAGTAAATGAACGGCTTCTGATTTTCATTCAATCAGATCTAAAATGGTTTAACCAATGTTAATTTTAAACAGAATAAGAAAAACCTGTTTTTATTAATTTCATTGGATTTAATCGATACATTCATCGTGTTATTAAAAAAACATGAGTAAAACCATGCATTTTTACACCTAAATCGTTAATATTGTTCTATATTACGGAACTGATCGTCCTACCGTCCGTGTACACGTGTATACGTAAGGCTATTTGACCTTGACCTAATGGAATATAATATTTTGTTCTTTTTCTAGCGCCTACTTTAACGCGGTGAAAACCGGAAATTCATGATTTGCCTCTATTTGAGGTAATTTCAGTAACATCATTTAAAAGCCTACAAATTTTTAGATATTAAAAAATTCAGATCACTGCTATTGACGTTAATAGTCGTTCATTTCGAATCCAGCATAATCAAAATGCAACAAATAATGCGCGCCCTAAACAGTCTTCAATGATTATCCTCGCTATTCTATAGATGTGTAAAGAAATATTTCTTATGGTGTTCTTCTTTTGTTAGATTTCATATATATATATTCTATATCTTATAATGAAAGCGATTATCTATGCTGCTTTTATTTATCTTAGTTTAGATAAGATCTAAAAAATATGACGCATAAATAACAAACTTACAGTGAACAAACCTAGCAGTTAAATAAAAATACATGATTGTATTATTTTAGTTTTGCTTTTCTCACATTTATATTTGTAGCTCAAAAAAATGTAGTCTACATCTGCTCAAAAAAGAAGCTCTAGAATTACTGTTTTCTTTACTAGAAAGTTTATGTTTTCTTACTAGAAATGATCACAGAGAACAGTGTGAAAAGTTCTTTTTGATCTGTGTGCAGGAACAAAACACTATGATGATTGTATCCATTAACCTTGTCACCGTTTTAACACACGTTTCCAGCTGTGTTCACCTATTTACATTTAGATTAACCAATGCAGTTACAGCGCATTAAGAACACATCAACTTGAACTGCACACGGTAGGTGAAGGTGTCTTCTAGCTTGCCGCTAAAGGAACTTCATCCCGTAAACTTATGCTGTTACGGTTACCAGATGCTGGAGCCTTCAGTACTGGGGGAAATTGACGTTAATTCCATATCCAACACTAGGATGACCCAATTACTTAAAACAAACAAACAAACGAATTGTCGCATCGCGTTAATTCCAACTGTCGCAACGTTCAGATCTCAGACTTCCATCTGTTGGTTGCCACACCACCCACTCGGAAGCAGTCGTCACGGCTGTGGGGGTGATGCCTGATGTCGGCCCGGGGGACGGAGGGTACAACTATTAAAGGCCAGCCCGTCCCGCGACCAGGGAAGGACTGACTATTGAGCTCCGGTCGCCTGCAAGACTAATGTGCTATAGAGGCCGCTGCCACAATCACGAGCAGTGCCGGCTTCTACCGGGTTTTCGCGAATTCTCCGCTCATCGATCGTTTTTCTGCTATATATATAGTAGTTGGGAGCCCGTACAAACGGTTGCATCTACTACAGCATCTCCTGTAGGTAGACTAACCTCCCTACACCGCTCTTCTGTCTCTGTCTTTAGGTTTTCCGTTACTTCTCTCTTTCTATCTGAATTCTAAGTTCGCTTCTGGTCGCTTCTCTTTGTCTTACTGTTTACCTTTGCGGCCCTTCGGGCTCCGTGTACATCAGAATAGGAGACCCCCTGTCGTGTGAAATTAATCCTGTCTCCTTTCAAAAACAATAGTAACTGTAGAACTTACCCTTCTTCCAAAATGAGTATCTTGCAATTCAGGGGGGGGGGGGGCAGGGTTGAGCGCAGAATGTGGCGAAAAGTGTTATTTTATGATATTCAGTAACACTACAGAATTGCAGTGCCATAACTAAGGGAGTTGGTCGCCAGCTTCCTGCCGCAGCGGACTGGATTCGAGCCCAGGTCTGGTCATGTGGGATTTTTGGTGAACAAAGTAGCACTGGGCCGGTCACGGTAGCCGAGTGGTCTAAGGCACGCACTGTCTTCGCTCGCTCGGAAACCGGGATCGTGGGTTCGAATCCCACTCAGGGCATGGATATTTAGTTTGTGTGTCTGCGTTTTTCTGTGTTTGTGTACAGGTAGAGGCCTTGCGACGAGCTGATCACCCGCCCAAGGAGTCCTACCGAACGTGTAAGATAATGAAAAACCGAAGTGAACGGAGAAGTTCATGGAGGTAGGCCTAGGCCCACTGGGGCTGTAGTGCCAAGGAAAGAAAATAGTAACACTGGGGTAGGGTTTCTCCGAGTACTTAGGTTTCACCTGCCAATTCTCATTCCACCGACTGCTCCATATTCGTCATCAGCTGTCCGGGACTGATGCAGTAGGCCAGTTGGTGGGCGACGACAAAGAGACTGAACTTCGAGTCCCGATGGAAACAAGAATTATCATTTCTCCATATCGTCCAGACTGGTTCTGGGGCCCACCCAGCCTCTTATCCAATGGGTATCGTGGGCTTTCTCCTCCGGGTTAAAGCGACTGGGGCGTGAAGCTGACCAGTCACCTCCATCTAGTGCCTAGGTCAAGAAAACCTGGGTCTATACATCCACCACCCATACGCCTTCATGGCGCAGTAATTAATTAATTAAGCACTGAGACAATCTTACCCTTAATAGATATATAATTTAAATTTCGGATTTATTAATTTTGTGTATGAAAGAAAAGTGCTGTATTGCATCCGTACATCAGAATTTTCTGACACCAAGAAAACAGATTGTGGTAATCAGGTTTTTAAATTATTTAGTATTTTTAATTATTTTTCTCATAAGGACGAGCATAACACTCTCGCCAATCCTGTTCTGAATAACCTACTTTAATCCTTCGGAACCCTAAAGCATATACATGTATATTCACTTGTAGTTTCATTAAGTGCTCAGTCAACAACAGCTTCTATCTATGGCTCCACTGCCCTTTATTGAACCTTGGCCAGATTTTCAGGCTCTTTATTTTTTACACAGGCAGTTGGACTCCTTGGGAAGGGGATCAGTTCGTCACAAGACCGCTACCTGCACACAGGACAGCAGAAATACAGAATAAACGCACACAAGTTGAATTCGAACCCATAACCCCAGTGTTTGAGCTAACGAAGACAGTTAATAAATAGAATGCCAGCAGCACGTGGTGTTCCCAAGCGGTCACCCATCCAAGTGCTAACCACGCCTAAAGTTGCTTGACTTCGGTGATCGGGCGAGAACCTATGTTTTCAATATTGTATTGTCTTTGGCAAGCGCCAAAGACTATATATATATATATTGGAAACGACGTTATGGAAAGGGGTCGAAAGGGGTCGTGGCCTGGTTTAAGGTACTATCCCGAAATTTTTCTTGTAGAAACTTAAGAAAACCGCAAGAAGCTTCAGTTACAACAGATGGTGGCCGCGCCGTAGCTCAAGCGGTTAGTCGCTGGCTTCCCACCATGGCGGCCCGGGCTTGATCCCGGGTCTGGTCCAGTGGGATTTGTGGTAGACAAAGTGGCGGGTTTTCTCCTAGCGTTTCGAGTTCCCTTGCCAATCTTCATTCCACCAAATCCTACATCATCATAATCACCCGGGGCAGGCTACAATAGGCCAATCAGTGGACGCCGTGCCTAGTGCACCCAGTTGGACTCCACCCCCCTCTAAGCGAATTAAAAAAAATAATGAAGTACAACAGACGGTGTCCCGGTCTGAATTCGAACTAGGCACTGCCGGGGTACTAACATTGAAGCGTTACAGCGCGAGCCAGGTATCTCGGTCAGGGATTAGTACAGAGCGCAGTAGCGCTCAGCCAATGGCTGAGGGGCATTCATGATTGTTCCTGTGATGTCAGTTAGTGTTGGAAATACCCGCGCGTGTGTGTAGGTCACAGCCTGCATGTAACGCACGCAGGAGACAGCAGGCTTATGCCATGGGGCCCTATGGCACAGTTGAGATAAGGAAACAAAGGAAAGTTCAGGTCTGCAAAGGGTTTCTGTTTGTTATGTCGATCTCTGCACTTGTTTTTGTATCATACATTCAAAATAACAACATAACACCAAAGATCCCTTAGCGTGTATTATGTTTTGCCGCTAACAATTTCTGCCCCCTTAATACCTTGTATGATAACCTTATGCACCTAGAACTTTCCCCTATTTGACGATAAATATGTCCCCCTCACTAGAACGTGTATACACATTTTCCACTTTTCACCACTACCAGTAAATATGAAATTTACCTTGCTAATTTCGCCCAACAAAACAGATAAATATGGACTCTGAGATTTGTCCTAAAGAAATAGTTGTGGACTAGGTTCATCTGGCTCAGGATATGGACCAGTGGCGGGCTCTTGTGAGCACCATAATAAACATTCGGGTCCAATTTCACCATATTTCTTGATGATGTTAGTAATTATTAGATTCCCAAGAAGGGGTCAGGGTCACGTAATCAGTTGCGCGCGCACCAAGGTTTAGGATTGCCTGGGTCGAAATTTTGGACTGCACTTTTAGTTATGCCGGTCACGGTAACCTTGCGGTCTAAGGCATGTACTGTCTTCGCTCGCTCGAAAGCCGGTATCGTGGGTTCGAATCCGACATAAGGCATGGAGTTTGTTATGTGTATGTGTTTATTCTGTATTTGTGTTTTCCTGTGTGTAGGTAGAGCCCTTGCGACGAGCTGATCACTCATCCAAGGAGTCCTACCGTCTGTAAAATGATCAAAATGAAAAAAAAAAACAACTTCGACACCGGAAGGTATAAAAGGAACGGATTAATTAAGTAAGTGTTTTTTTGTTATTATTCCCTTACACAACGTGTGTAGAAACAACTTAAGAGACATTTTTGTATGTCTGTCCTTTCTTCCTTCTACATGTTTATGCTTGACAGGAAACTTACGGTGAATTCTTTTTTGATATGTCATTGCAGGTCATCCAAAGCTTACGCTTCTAAATTACGCCAGTCGGTTAAGAAGTAAACACTCGCCAATCCGGATAAATTGGTGGGGGAGATCACATTCGGATTAATGACGCAAAAGATAGCTCTAAAACAGAAAAAAAACTTTTAAAAAACAAATAAATGGAAAGTTTAATAATATAGGTAGTGCTGATGATAATAAAAAAGTCACTGCAGAAATTTATTCCTTTGTCAGAATCTGAAATCCAGGGTCTCTTATAGCCAGCTGAAACCAATCTTGGTATATTGCGCGGTGTCATTCTCTCAAGTTGCACTCAACACAGTCTGAAAGCCCTCTTGTGCTAAACACTCTTGCGCCTAAAACCCATCTGTGAACGGAATATTCCATTTTTCATATTTCGATCCGGATTAGAGAGAGTTTACTACACGAGTAATAACATGGCGGACGTACGGAATTATGAGGTGGCAGCTGTTTATCCCTAAATCCACCAACAGTAGTAACTAACTTTAAACAATAGTCACCATAAAGCAAACTTAGTCACAGTAAACAATAATGGTCATAGCAGACATAAAAGGTAAAGATGATCCTGTGCTTAACTAATTAAGCACTATGCCATCAATGCGTATGGGGAAGTTGAGGTATAGATCCACATTTCCTTGGCCACGACACTAGCTGGAGGTGAGTGATCAGCTTCACCCCCCGGCTGCTTTACCTACAGGTAAAATGCCCCCGGAACCCATTGTATAGGAGGTTAGGCGGGCCCCAGTGCCGGTCTGGACGACATGGAGAAGAGAAATTTTTTACCCTACCGGGACTCGAACTTAACTCCTCGGTCGTCCAACCCGCAACCAGTCGCTAAACCGACTACGCTATCCCGGCTCCATGGTCATAGTAGACATAGTAACCAATAATTTTTTAATTCGCACAGTGCGGGGTTGAGTCCAGCTGGGTCCACTCGGCACGTCGGCCACTGAATGGTCTATGGTACGTGCCCCGGGTGATTATGATGATGGAGAATTTGGTGGAATGAAGATTCGCAAGGCAAGCCGAAGTACTCGGAGAAAACCTGCCCCAGCGCCACTTTGTCCACCACAAATCCCACTTGACCAGACCCGGGATCGAACCCGGGCCGCCGCAGTGGAAAGCCAGCGACTAACCGCTTGAGTTATGACGCGGCCTAGTAACAAATAACAATACTAACTACTAAGAAGCATGGTAACCGAAAACCATATTAATATACATATAACAGCTATAGTATCCAGTGGTAAACATAGTAACCAAACAGAGCTATATTAGTCAATAACGGCCTTAGTAGATACTCTGGCCATAGAAGCAAATATTAAATATGGTAACAAAACATAACCAATAATAACCAACGGTGATCATACTAGTCTTACTAACTACAAAGTGGCGCTGGGGCGGGTCTTCT